CACACACACACACACACACACGCACACACGCCCAGAGACGCAGAAAGGGAGGTGACCAGGCTGCGAGGTGAGCTCCTGCATTCCCCAACCCCCACCCTCTGGGCAGCCTGGCATGGCCAGGCATTATGGGAAGGAGTGGGCAGCTAAGAATCCCCGGGGACGGATGCCCACTCGGCCTAGCACCCCGGGCCTGCCAGGTACAGCCATTCTCCCCAGATCCTGGCAGAGAGCAGGCAGTGGCATGTCCTGGGCAGGAGCCCATACCTAGCGCTGCCATGGGGCCGGGCACGAGCACACGCGCGCACGCACACGTACACACACTACATCACACAGTGGGGGCCACAGCTACATCCCAGGGTTCCATCCTGCTCCCGCCCCCATGGGATCCTGCCTCCCCCCCCCACCCTCCCCACAACCCCCAAATGGGAGGCCTGGGAGACCAGCCCCTGCTTCTGGCTTGTGTGCATCCCAGCCTTAGAGCCAGCTGCTCCCCCACCCCCACCCCACCGGCCCCCCAAATCTGCCCTCTGTCTCCAGGTAGGGGTAAGTGGGAGAAGGTCAGAGAAAGCAGGGTCAGGCCGGCAAGCCAACCTCACCCACTTCCTGAGCAGTCATTCTTGCCCGCCGCCCCCTTGCAAGCTGCCCTTAGGAAAGCAAAAGGGGGAAAAAACTTTCCTTCCAAGTCACTGATGGGGCCCAGGAGGCCCCTAGGAGTGTTGGGGGCCCAAGGACCCTCTGTCAGGCTGCCCGGGGCCATCTGGCTTCCTGCTGGGCTACTGGGGCCTGCTCCTCCGGTGGACTCTGCAGTGCCAGCATGCCCCTCCCTGGGGTCAACCCTGGGATCCTCACAGCAAAGCCCGGAAGGCCTGGGGCTCTCTATACTCGTGCTTGGGCAGATACCACCACCTTCTCCACAATGAGCCGTTAAGCCACCCTCCTCACGACTGAGATCTGGCCCCAGTCCTGCCCGTTCCTAAAGATAAGCCTTCACTCAGTCCACGGGGCCCTTACCATCACACTGCCTGGGCCAGGCTCTTCACCCCAGAAACCCAGTCTCTTGTTTCCCTTGGAGTCATTATTCCCTTTCTGTCCACCTCTCCCTGGATAACTCCCACCCAGGGCTCTGGGGACCCTCACCTCCCTTAGACTCTGAGCAGTAACTCCTTAAAGGCAGGCCAGCCGAGGTCCTGGCAATGCGGGCGGCTCGTGCCCTCTGCTCCCACCAGCCTGGCACCAGCTTCCCTGCCATTCTCTCCCATCCTGTCACCACCTCTACCTCTCTCCTCACAGGCCCTAGGGCCCCTCCTGTCACTCTCTCATCACCTCATCTCTCTGTCACCTCTTCCTCCCAGCCACTCTCCTGTCAGCCATCTCCGGACTTGTCACCCTCTCTCCCCATCACATCACCTCTCCTTGTCACCCCCTCCAACTCTGTCCCCCCCCTTTCCATGTTACCCCTCCATTCCTGTTGCCGGTTCTCTGCCCACCACAACCTCCTCGTCACCCCTTTTCTGTCACCCTCCGCACACCACTTCCTCTACTCTGCGCCACCCCCCACCCCCCGTTCTCACCAGTCCGTCCACCCCTTTCCCCCTTATACCCCTACCCTGTCCCTGCCACCTGTCCCCTCCCGACCCCCAGTCCCCGGAAACCCTTTTGCCCAGGTCAGCCCTGGCCCCGCCCCTCACCTCGGGCTCAGCGGGGTTTCGGGGCGGGGGGCCGTGGCTCCGGCTCGGTCCGGTCCGGTCCCTCCCCGCCCCCCCTTCGGCTCTCCCTCTTGATTCTCCCTTTTTTTTTTACTCCAACACACAAAATGGTGAATGGACCTGCAACAGCTGGAGCAGTCAGCCAATCAGCGACCACAACCCCGCTGACCGGCGCCGGCCTAAGCCAATAGATATTCGCAGCCTCACCGGCTCCGCCCCTCAAAGAAGAGAGACACTCGCAACGACTAATAGTGCCTACCCGGCAACGCTAAGGGGCGGGGCTAAAGTCCAAGACCTGCCTCCCTCGGGGACCGACACCAACCTAAGCCTACGACCGCCTGATCTGCCTAGGACCCTGCCCTACAACACGTGATGGACACAAGTCTTGACCAATTGCAATCCACCTTAGGGCCAAAAGACGAATACAGTACCCAATCACCCCACAGCCTAGGCCGGAACCCAGGCTCTGTGAGAGACAGTAGCCAATGAATTGAAAGGGGGAGGGATTACGGGATGAGCTATCCAATGAGCGGCCTAAGGAGGCGTGGCCAGAGCATTTGTTGACTGGCTAATCGCAATTCCTGCTGGGAATAGAAGTCTTCTTAAGGTTCTGGCCCATAGTTGATAATATAAGCCAGACTACAACTCCCATGTGACAGTGCCTGGACCACCAAAGAATCCGGGCGAGGTGAAAAAGTCGGAAAGGGCAGTTCCTGGAGAGTATCACTGGACACCAGGAGCATCTGAGACCCAGGGCCCCGACTCACCCGAACTCCCGGCTCTGGCGTCGCCAGTGGATCCTCTCAGCGGCGGCTGTAGCGGCACGAGGAGGAGGTTCGAGGAGCAGCCAACCGCCACCCGCGAGCCCCGCAACCAATCAGTAGCGCTCGGGGCGGTGCAATGACCTCACCGGTTTCTACTCTCTTACCCCTCCCCCAGGTGGTTGTCGCCGCCGCCGGTAGCCGGGAGTAGGGAAGTTTGAGTTGGGGGGGGAGGGGAGGAGTGATGTCACCTTTCCCCAGCGTGATTGGTTGTTGGGTGGCCGAGACGACGACCAATCAACAGCTTTCGAAAGTCTGGCGCGGCCCCGCGGAAAGCTCTGTTGCCACCGGGAGGGGAGAACGCGCGTGCCTGTGGGGCGGCGCGCGCTGCTGCAGTGTGGGCAGCGCGCGCGACCTGGAACTTTGGGGGACCTGGGGACAGCCATCGCTCCTAAGACTTGGACATTTTGGACAGCGCACTTTTCTGTTCCACCTCTAGCCGTGAGATGCGGGAGGGCAGAGCTCCCTGGGACTTGACACTTCAGTCCCCCTACCATCGCTACATGTGTACGTACATGTGTCGCTACACCTGACAGGAGAGCAATTTGTTCGAGGTCCCATGGGCTCCCCTTCACACACACACACACACGCACACGCGCGCACACACACACACACACACACGGAAGAAGGGTATGCCCTATCAGTAGTAGATCCCTGCTGTCCAGATGTGGGAGGGGGAGGGAGGACCACACCAGGTGTGAACCTGCTGAAAGTGCACCCATGTTTGCCACTTTCAGATTTTTCCCCAGCTGCCAGGTAACAGGGCAACAGTCTGCATTGGTGGCAAAGGCGCTTTCTCTGCCTGTGAGAGATTCCAGACTCCCAGCATCCGCAGTAGATTCATACTGGTCATGGGGGAATTACACGCTAGCCTACGGCTGCCCTGCAGAACCTTCACATCAAGCACCAGAAAGTGGTGTCTATGGTTGGTTCACACCGCAGGGGAGAAACTGCAGTTGCCCAAATGGGGCTCACATTATCCCAAGGGAAGTCCACTGAGGATTGACCTTCAAAATGGGAGAAATTGTGTTACCTGTATAGACACTTTGAAAGAATCCTAGATCATTACTTATACTATTATATGATGACTTGGGCCTACCTGCTGGTTAAATTCCTCTCAGGCTAAAAGGGAATTCACACTTTACCCTTGGTGTGGGTGGGGGGCCCTGCATTGGGAATTTGATTAGTTTATACTGGGCACATGGATAGAAGCGGAGTCTGAGGAGACCTCTCGCTGATTCAGTGTTCACATTGCCCCCCTTTTGACAGCACCTGGGAGAACAGAAGCTCATGCTACCACAGCAGGGCTCCCTAGGTACTCCAGAAAGCTCCTCAGACACGGGGGCATGCACTGCCTGCATTCACTTCTGCATGGAAGCGAAGATCACACTTTACCATAAGGCTCCCAGGGGACAGGGGTCCACATTGCCTGTTGGCTCAAGCTCGGGCCTGGGGGTGGTTTTGCATTGAGCCAGTGGAGATTTGTGTTCAACAGCTTACCTCAGGGGTAAGCATCCAACTGTCAGGGGGTGGTCTGCACCCTCCTCAAAGGACCCTACCCTGCCTTGGGGAACAAAAAGGGAATAGCCAAAATCGAGGCAAGCAAGACTGCTCCGGCTCCGACGAGAGCGGGCTTAAAGGAGCCTTGGTGTGGCACTGCCAGGTAAAATTGGACTGCTAACCACAAGGCCTGTGGTTCAAACCCACCCGCCACGCCATGGGAGAAAGAAAAGGCTGTCTGCTCCAGGAAAAGATTTGCAACCTGTAACTCCCACCTAGGGTCACCAGACATTAATCGACTGGAAGGCAGTGAGTTTGGTTCCCGGTTTGCGGTATACTTCAAGGAGCCTGGCGGTGCCCGGGTTAAAGCGCTTAGCGGTACATTGAAAAAGGCTTGAAGGCAAACAAGCGGCCATCTAGCTCAAAAGCAACAAAGCCCACATGGAAGAAGCACACCAGCCTGTGCGATCACGCAGTGTCGAAGGGATCAGGTATCAGGCATCATCAGAACAAAAAATCTTATAGTGAATGGGGGCGGGAGTGCGGAGTAGGGATCCAAAGCCCATTTGTAGGCCACTGGACATCCCCTTACAGAAGGGTCTCAGGGAGGAGACGAGCCAGTCAGGGTGCAACGTAGCAATGATGAAACGTACAACTTTCCTCTAGTTCCTAAATGCTTTCTCCTCCCCCACTATCATGATCCCAATTCTACCTTGCAAGTCTAGCTAGACCAGAGGATGTACACTGGTACAGATAGGAGCTGGAAATAGGGAATCCAGGGTGGATGATTCCTTCAGGACCAGTGGTATGAGTGGCAGTGCTGGGAGGGTGGAGGGTGGGTGGGTAGGAAGGGGGGAACTGATTACAAGGATCTACATGTGACCTCCTCCCTGGGGGATGGACAGCAGCCGAGTGGGTGAGGGGAGACAGTGGACAGGGTAAGATATAACAAAATAATTTATAAATTATCAAGGGTTCATGAGGGAGGGGGAAGTGGGTAGGGAGGGGAAAAAAGGAGAAGCTGATGCCAGGGGCTTAGGCGGAGAGCAGATATTTTGGGAATGATGAGGGCAATGCATGTACAAATGTGCTTTACACAATTGATGTATGTATGGACTGTGATAAGAGTTGTATGAGCCCCTAATAAAATGATTTAAAAAAAAGAAAAACTGGCAGTTTGAACCCACCAGCCACTCTGTTGGAGAAAGATGAGGCCGTCTGCTTCCCCAGAGATTCATCTCCTCGGAAACCGGGTGGGTGCTTATTCTACGCTGTCCTGCAGGGTGGCTCTGAGTTGAAATCCACTCACCAGCAATGAGGACGGTATAACTAGCATGCCCACTGCGTGTACTTATGAAGGCCACAGAGGCGTCCCCACCCTGCCTGATGGACATCTCTCCGTGGGAGTTCACCTGTCCAAGGCCGACTGCCCTGGCCCCGGAGGAAAGGTTCCGTGCTCCGCAGAGCAGATGAAAATACAATACACACAGGGGCTGTGCCCAGAGGATGACCGCAAGTGTAATTTCCAGAGTTCTATAGCTCATTAAACGACACAGCCATGTGGTGTGCGTGCGTGCGTGTGCGTGCGCGTGCGTGCGTGCGTGCGTGCGTGTGTAGATGGCAAGATAGTACAGGCTGAGCTGGGAGTAGCTTCCAGAATCAAAGCCCAGCTCTCGCTTTGCTCCTGGCACTGTGAGCTCGGGCAAATCACTTGACCCCTCTGGGCCTTGTTCACCCCGTGAAAAAGGGAGGGTACGTTTGCCACTACGTAGGGTTGTTATGAGGATGAAAAGAGTTAATGAGCAAAAAACACAAAACATTTCAAACCAAGTTTGAAGCAGAGTATGTCTTAGTCTGGGTAGACGAGTGAAACAAATCCAGGGGGTGTAAGAAACAACGTTATAGACAGGAGCAATTGAATATTGAGAACAGCCCAGTCTAGATCAAGTCCATAAGTCCACTATTTACCCATATGTCCAATACCAATCTATAAAGTCCACTTCAGACTCACAAAACACAATGGTGCTGAATGCTGGAAGATCACAGGCCAGTGGGTGGAAAGTCTTGTGGATCCAGTGGCAGAGGAAGCATCTCAGCACTGCCTTGGGTCTCCATGTGGCTCCTCCAGGTCCAGGGCTCTCACTGCCACCAGCATAGATCCATGTGTCTTGTCAGTAGAGCATCTCTCAGGGAGTGAGCCTGCCTGCGCCCTACCTCCAGACCAGTGAGCTACTATTTAGCTCCTTAGCACCTCCAAATTAGGTCATCAAGTTACGGCTTGATTGATAGGCTAAACGCCACCCCATCACTCTTAATAGTCTCAAATTGACAACAGATTATATAATTACCACACCAAGTAGTAAGTCTTCAAAAACGTTAGCTAGTGTGGTGATGAGGGATTATTCAAGGAGTTTACCACTGCCTGAAGAGTTTAGGCTTGTCACAATCTCACTGATAGTCTCAGCCATGGGACTTCGACTTTTTGTGTACGGTGGTGGCAGTAGCAGTGGAGATAGTAGGTCTTTGGGGGAAGGATTACAAGGTTCAGCATATCTTGGGCATTTGTCCTTCCATCATAAGACATGATGATCTACGGCTGGAGTGGAGTTGGCTTTCCAAGCATCATGCTGTCTGTCTGTATAACCTTGGGCCTATAACCTCGCCCTTACTATCCTCAACTGAGAAATGGGGATGATTAGAGACCTGCCCCATTGAAGTGAAGGTGAGATAAGTTTAAATCAGAGCTTGGTCACGTAGGAATGCTCGATAAACATAAGCTGTGACGTGTGTGGCCTTGTCCTGGGCATTCCCCATGGTTCAGGAACTCACCATTCCTCATCCAGCCGGGGTTGTGCCGCCCTGGAGGGAATCACAGTGTCGACGGCAGGCGTGTGGTAGCTTTCTGTAGACTCAAGACCATCTGCAAGGGTTTCCATACTTGTAGGAGGTGGTGGTGGGGCTTGAGGCCGCCCTATCTCTGAAACAGACACGGGTTCATGATACCCACTGTGGGGTCCACTGTTCACAGAGCAGCCCACCCAGGCAGGTGGCACTGCCCACGTGGAGGTACAACATCCATGGGCGACACTGCACAAAGCCACACGGACTACAGGGTGGCCCTGTTCAGATCGGTGTTCACACACAAGTTCCTGAAGAATTAATTACCTGTGCATCGGGGTTTCCCCAGTTAACCCTGTAAATCAGCGGTTCTCAACTTTCCAAACGCTACGACCCTTTCATACCGTTCCTCATGTGGTGGTGACCCCCCCAACCATAGCATTATTTTCATTGCTACTGTGATGAGTCGGGTGACCCCTGTGACAGGGGTCAAGAACCACTGCTGTAACTAGAGGGATTCACCCAATGTTGAAAGAGGTCGATCACAGTCACATAGGGTACACTTTTGATAGAGGCTGGCTCATCATCTCTGTGAGGTTCCCACTGTTCCTGAGGCTCTCCCCCCTATAGGGGGTTCATGCTGTTTTTCTAAGTTGTTCCGTCTAAACGAGGCTTATACGAATTT